CCACAAACAGATCTTTGAATGTAAACACAACAAAATAGCAGAATGGGCGATTTGTAATGAACATCTGGCCTTCTAACTGAGTATAGTATTTGCGGGTTTTCTTTAGGCCCAAATTCGTGCACGAGATACACATTCCAAAAGGGGAAATCAGGTCCGGGTCCGACTGTCATGTGTCTGGAATGGTTTTGGACACAACAATGATTCATACATTTTGTTTATATACTTCTTCTCTGTAGCTGCAATTATCTCTCCAAATCTGGAAGCAGTGATCCGCCATTGTCTCTCCTTGTGTCAGATTGCGCTCTTTCCTTGTTATAACTTGCTATGCTCAGTGTTCGCTGTTTGTTCCTCAACCTGAAATATTCATATCCCATTAAAGCATGGTAGATGGTTACAGCATTAAATAGTTTAGATACAATATTATAATTCTATGATGTCACACATCACCTAGTTTGATATTTGGGCCCGATTCTCAAAGACCTCTGTTTTCACTTACATCATTCCCTCTATCCATGCTTTATTCTTTCATGGCACTTGGAAATAGTTGTTGTCCATCACAGCCGCCTGTAAGTCAGCTTTAGGGTAGGCATAACTGGTGGCTACATCAATCTTTACCGCTGATGTGAAGTGATAGGTAAGATTCCTGAAGTAATCATTTTATCCTGCTCTTGAAGTTGACTGTCCTGGAGTCCTGAAATCGACAGCTTCAGGCTTTGCCCCCAATATATGGGCCTTCTTTGGGTAACCTTATAAAGAAAATAAATGAGTTCATTTATTAAGTATAAAAAATCTTTGTCTTTCGTGCTACTTAAACAAAATATGAGCGTAAGCCTACTCGTACCTACAGTAGTCTACATGTACATAACATGTCAGATTTGACACACACACCTCGACTAATTTTTCATTTCTTCAAGGAAAATAGTTAGCATTCGTGTTTTTCAAGCACTAAATGAAAAGAAAACACATACCTTTCAGTCAATTCACATTTTCATCCAGATGTTATGGCACCACATTCAAGTAAATTGCGTTTGAGTTGGTTCACTGTCAGCGACGCGTGCACACGTTCCATGTTAAACTCTGGTGTAAAGCATTGAGCGAGATTGTGCGAGACTTTAGAAGGACTGCTTTCACCCCCACGCCATCTAGCGGCATACCCTTAAAGCGGGTATTCCCCATTGAGCATGAGCAGAATGCACATGTGCTTAAATAAGCTCTCTGGAGATTGTTGTCGCCATAAAATGTCGTTTGACTACGCCAAACTTTCCTTTTTTTTGTGAAAATTTTTCACATATTTTTCAGCTTATATGCAACACTGATAACACAATATAAGAAAAATAGATAGGCCAATTGTCATTATACTCACAGGAGTGGTCAATCTTACTAAAACGCAGGTTGAGTTCGAAAATCAGCATAATCTAACCAGTGTACAAATAACAATAAAGAAACGTTAGTAATAATACAGTGTAGCTGCTAAAACTGCGGGTAAATATATCCGCAGCTACAAAGCTGAATGACTTCTCACTGAATGCAGCTCAATGGAATTAATCTCCAAAACATCTTTCATAGAATATACTTGTGAGTGCCTTGATACACAGCAGCTAAGACATTCCTTAACCCTGGACATCTGTTAACACCTTGTCTTGGTCAACTACTTAAGGTCAAAATGTGCAGACACAAGACCCAAACAAAACGTTGATGTATTACCAAAAAGTTAATAGCACCACTAAAACAAACCATTTGCTACATAAATACAATTAATTCTCTTAATTGTAGTTTTGTTTGACATTTCCTGCATCTTTACAATATTGTAAGTTGATTATATAAAAATTATGGTAAACTTGTTATCGTGTTTTGTGTAATAAAGTGTCAAAAATGGAAATAAACTCATATTATTGCAGTTTGTCAGATTCAATCATCCACTATGTTCAGAATCTCAGAATGGAGGAAATTGGACATTTAACACTGTTGTATTGATATTTTTCCCATCTCATCAATTTTCTTAGTTGATCATATAAAAATTGCAGTAAACTGTAAAAATAGAAGAAAACACAATTTTTGGTGCTGCTGCCATGATGACCATTATGGGAAAACCATGTTACTTATGACTGTCAAACTTTCAAAAAAGAAACAGAGGACTAAAATGCAGCCTGAGCTGGAAAAGCAGTCTAATTGGCGTCTTTTTCTGGAAGTTATACATTTTAGTGAAATATTCATTATTATCGTTTTGGCATATTCATTGTGGGACTTAGAGCTCCCATGGACATGAAGCTGAATGGTAATCAAGTTTTCTACATTTCAATGCTATTTATAGTCAATTATCGAAAATTGGTGATAATTATTCTGTTATTTATTATGTAATGTTACATCAAAATTGACAAAAAAATTTTTGCACTGCTACTAGAAACATTATGAAAGTTCAAATTGCAGTTCAAATTAGAAAGCCAGCTCAATTGGGTTATCATTTATTATTGAATTTATGCAGTTTTGTGTAAAATTTTCATTTTTCTCATTCTGGCATTTACAAAGTGTGAACTTTAACTCCCATCGGCCTTATGCTGAAGCCTTATGCTTGTTACACATTTTACTTACATCAGTATTTCCTGCTGAGCATAATTAAAATTTGATGTTGAATTTGCAGTTAAGCATAATGTACTTTTGCATCAGAATTGACAGTAGCCTATTTTGTGCATTGTTATTTTCTGCTTTTTGTCTGTACATTTGACAGCTTTGCTGCCTTGTTATTTTCCCCACTGAGCTAAGAACAATTCAGGACTGAACAGAATCATAAAGACCAGGCAAAGCGATTGTTAGCTTTTATTTGTACGACTCAAGTATTAAGAGTGACATACATTATAATACGTATATTCTTCTTCTATCACTATTATAATTATTATTTATAAACGTGTTTAATAGATGTGGAAGATATATCTAGGTGTAAATTGTAAAAATGGAACCCTGATTATATATTTAAACAAGTGATTTAATAAAATCATATTTCAGATCAGTTGTTTACTTTTTAGATCTGTTGACTCCCTTTTAGAAAACTTGGGAATTTAGAATTTAAGATAATGTCATCCATTCAGCTGATAAGTCTGCTCCTACTGGTTGCTGTTCAAGCTGTCAATTCTTCAAGTATTGTGAAGGTAAGTCCTGAAAAGCGTTTGTTATTAGCGTCTGGCTATTGAAACAAGCTTATACACTGAAAGGCAACACAGTTCTTAAATTGCAGGGAGTTGTGTTGGGATTTTCTGCTAGTCTGCAAGCGTTAAGTGTGTTTTATTGAATAACAGAAAGCATTTTTTCTTAAAGGTGACTTAACGTGTGTATTAACAAAATACAACATAAAAGAAGAAAACATTTTCATAAAACCAATACTTATTTGGCAAAATCAATGGCTTTTTAAGAAAAAATAATACACCTGATCAAAACAATTACAGCATCTCATGTCCGTTTTAAACCGAATCTAAATATTCCAAATGTGTAAACAGGATACTGCAAGAAAATATCATATCTAAAACAAATAATACACCCCAAATACATGCTATATAAATAATAGCCAGGGCCCATTTGGAAACCAATCTACGTCCTGTTATAGGAACAATTCAGCGTTCAGAGAGATCGACTCCTAATGTGAAAGACGGATAATGCTGGGTAATAAAATATAATTCCTTCATATTTTAGAATTACAAGGGAAAGTTTACTTCCTACCGGATAACCAAGTTCAAAGCATTCTTTGATATCATCGACGTCGATGAAGATGGCGTTGTAACTGAGAAGGAATTCGTTGATTTAACAACAAAACGAGCTCAAAACGTTCTGCCGTCCTGGAGAGCCATGGCTTGGAATGGTATGTTTTCCAACGCCTTTCGGGTCTGGTGGTCAAACGAATACTCTAACAATAAAACAGCCTTCACTTTTGAAGATATGATTCGGGTTCACGAGATAGACATTCCTATTACAACGGAGGAGGTCTCCCAAATCTCATGGAATATGTTTGGCACTTTTGATATTGACTGCGATGGCAAGTTAACGATAGATGAGTATTCCAAATTCCTGTTTGTTCACCGCAACACGGCTGAAATTCAACCAATTTTTGGTGCAATTGATCAGAACGCAAATGGCGTCCTTGATGCAGAAGAATTTGTAAGTGCATACGACCTCTATTGGTATCGACAAGAGTTCAGCACCACTGATGTAATTATAGGCAAGCGGTACTGATGCAGTCGGCAATTGCCAAGATATAGGTCGACCGCTTGCTTTTGGCTTTTTGTACCTTTGAAATCTTTGAGATGTTTTCTTTGATAGACGAATTTACGTTTCCACATAAAAATCACTCTGTATTTTCTCTTCAATGTTCAATATTACTCTGAACTGTTTCCATGCAGTTATTATAACAGACATTACTGAAAATGATTATTGTCCTTTCTTTTCCTGGGTATATATTTGGAATAAAACATAAAAGCCTCTTTTTTATTTTTGTCTCTTTCAACATTATTTACAATTTAGATGGATGTTTTCAGGAAATATTTAACAATATTTTGATGCTATCTATCACAACGAATATAATTACACTGATACCAATGAATTTGCGTGCATGTGAGCTGTTTTGGTATGTACAACAGTTTGGCAACTGATTTTATTTAACATAAACGTTACTGATGAAGATGGAAATGACAAAAAGGTTATCTGTCCATTAAGTTTTAACTTTTAAATTACATGTTACTGATTGTTGATGTTGCTTTTTGGCAGCTTTTTTTTTCGGTGCCTACCCGCAAGAAAACGCAGTAGATACTCCAGCGCATTAGACTACTGCAATCACACTGCAAACATGCTTCAAATCTGCTTCTATTTGGGAGCTAATTAGCATATTTGAAACATGCTTCTATCATGCTGCTAATCTACTGCATTAATGCTCCTCTCTGTACAAACCTATGTACTTTTTGGAGTAGAATTGCAGTAGGCTATGCTGCATTTCTATTGCAAATATGCTCCACACCACTACTGCATTAATGCTTTTTTGCTACTTCGATACTACTGCATTTTCTTGCGGGATACTACTGCATTTTCGTGCGGGTAAGCATACCATTGGTTAGGATGACATTTTACTGTTGCATACTAAGATGATTCCTTGCAAAATTCCTTACAAAACTGTTGCTTTGTATTTGTAAGAAACAAAGTAAATGTATAGCCTTTTGAAAATTCGATTCATCAAACGGTATAAGAACAGTGTAATATCAAGTAAGAATGATTGGTGTGTGTGTGTGTGTGGGGGGGGGGGGTGCATGTGTATCTCCTGAATAGAGGCTATTCACTTGGATAGCCTCATTCACTGATGAAGATGTCCTGCTAGACTGCTGACTGAAGAGAAAAATAACATCATTCTTATACCCTAACACAGCTAAAGAAACTCTCTCTGACATACTTAATGTAGCAAGGAAATATGCCTGACAGCATTATGACGCTCTTTTTTAGGTAGCCCGTATTAACATGTAGTTTGGTACTTACATTTGATTACACAAAGTTAAACACGATAGCTGCTGGCAAAATAGAGGAATAGGGGGGACGCGTACGTGACAACGCAACTCTATCTGGAATACATTTCATTGTAACTGTATTATAAATTAACCGCCCTCCTGCAAACACCAAACATCAATCAAGGTGCAGATCTCTTATGGAATTGTAGGACAGGAAACTGTTACGGTATGTACATGTATACTGTTCAATAACATTTGGGTTGATATCATATCAGGTACTATCATGAAAATGGCACCCTTTGCCTATTTACTTAGTACTCAGTATATATATATATATATGATGAAACTGAACATAAGGATTGTCATGTAGTAGTGCTGGTAATTGTAAATGATACATGTAAGTCCGAGCGCCGCACGTGCAGTATTGTATTTTTTCCACTGAGATAAGAACGAAACAAACCCATAAAGACCAGGCATAAATGATAAATTAATGCAAACTAGAAAGTCTCCGGTTTTAATACAGCTAAAGTGATATGAATTATAATACGTATATTCTTTTTCTTTATTTATTTTTATTTTACATTTTTGGCCTTTAAGTGTGTTTCAAAGATGTGGTAGAAATCGAGGTAGAAATTGTAAAAAGGAAACTCTGATTATTTCTTTAAAAAGGGAATTAATTAGTTGTTTACTTTTTAAATCTGTTGACTGTCTTGTTTTAGAAACCTTGACCATTTAGAGTTCAAAAAATGTTGTCCACTGAGCTGATAAATCTCCTCTTACTGGTTGCTGTTCTAGCTGTCGATTCTTCAAGTATCGAGAAGGTGGGTCCAGAAAAGCTTTATTATCATGGTTCTTTTATTGAAACAATTTAAGACGGTATTGATAGAGAAGCATGATTTAAAGGTGCAGGTGGTGGGATTTTCTGCTAGTCTGTAACCTTTTAATGTATTTCACTTCACTAAATAAGAGAATGTTTTCTGTTTTTCTTGGATGGTGACTTAACGTGTGTATAAACAAAACAAAACAAAACAAAAAATCATAAAACCAATATTTATTGGGAATAATCATTGTTATAACTCAGACAAATAATACACCTATTTAAACCAATTACAATGTCTCATATGTCCGTGTTAAACCCAATCCAAAACATTTTAAACAGGATACATCCGAGAAAATGTCATATCTATAACAAATTATACACCTGCAAAAATATGATATATAAAAAATAGTCAAGGCCCATTTGAAAACCAATTTCATCCTTTTAAAAGAGCGTTTCAGTGTTCAGAAAGATCAGATCTAATATGTAAGACAGACAAGGATGGGACATAGAAAATACTTTATTCACATTTTAGCACGCCAATGGAAAGTTTAGTCCCTACTTCATTACCAAGTTTAAAGCATACTTTGATATCATCGACGTTGATGAAGATGGCGTTGTTAATGAAGAGGAATTCGTTGGTTTAACTACGGAACGGGCTCAAGAGGTTCTGCCATCTTGGAGAGCTATGGCGGTGAATGGTATATTTTCCAATGCTTTTCGGGTCTGGTGGTCAAACCAATACACCAACTATAGAACAGCATTTACTTTTAAAGGTATGATGCGGGATGAGGAGATGAACATGGCTCTTTCAACGAAGGGGGACCTCCAAATCTCATCGGATATGTTTGACACTTTTGATATTGACTGCAATGGCAAGTTGACGATAGATGAGTATTCCAAATTCCTGTTTGTTCACCGCAACACGGCTGAGATTCAATCACTTTTTGAACGCAAATGGCGTCCTTGATGCAAATGAATTTGTAAGTGCATACGACCTCTATTGGTATCGACAAGAGTTCAGCACCACTGATATAGTTTTTGGTAAGCGGTACTGATGCAGTCGGCAATGGTCAATAATGAAGTCTATGATTTCTCTTTGGCTTTTAGATTCCAGCTGAAGTCTTTTACTGTCCCTTTGGAATGTTTGAGATGCACATTGATTACAACGACATTTAATTATGTTATATAGAGATGTTTGCTTACATAGACAAATTCACGTGTTCCCATAGAAATCACATTGTATTGTTTCTTTAATTTTCAATATTACTATAAAATTCATTAATTAAATCGAATATTGTCTTTTCTTATTGCTCAGTATAAAGTTGGAAAAAAACTTGAAGCCTCCTCTTTTTTTCTTGTCTCTTTCAACATGACTAACCAATTAAACGGATGTTTTTAGGAAATACTTAACAATACATGTATCTTAATTATCTATAATAACATTAATGCCAGTTAGTCCGGTGGCTTAAGGAAAAAATCGTGACACGGCGGATAAAAGCACTAAATTTTGCATGTGGGTACCTTTTGACATACTTAATCAAATTAGAGCCGTAGCCCACGGTAAAAAATTACCGTTTGGCCAAAAAGTCCAAAATGGCCGCCAATTTATGGAATTCTATAGAAATGTGTACGTATCTATGTTGATTTTTATCAAATTAATTATTTACTCAGAGTTTTCCACACCCTTATTACCCATTTTATTCATATATGTCAGATAGCAAACAAGTTCCCTTGGACTTTTTGAAAAAATCCAAGATGGCTGTCATATGCCATAGAAACAGCCATAGGAATACTAGTGCACAACTAATACCAGCTAGACAGATACGTTGTCCGCTATCAAATTAAGTTTGTTTCTCAGATTTTTGTTACCCACATAATATGTTTGTGGTGAGTAACTACGAAGTGTTCTTGGGCATTTCGGAAAATCCAAGATGGCTGCCATGTGCCACAGGAATTCTAGTATACGGGGGATTCAACTAATGGCAACTGGAAAGATTAATTTTCCACTATCAAATTAAGTTTGTTTCTGGATGTTTTCCACATCCTTTCCACCCACACAATATGTATGTGGTGAGTAACTAACATGTATTCCTGGGCATTTTGAGAAAATCCAAGATGGCCGCCATATGTCATAGGAATACTAGTACTTCTAGTGTTACAAAGGGTTGGAACTAATGCCAGCTAATTCACTATCAAATTCAGTTTATTTATTTTTAGTGTTTTACAGATAATTATTACATTGTGATACATATCTAGCAGGTAATAAATGTGCATATTTGATCATTTTGAGAAAATCCAAGATGGACGTCATTGGCCATAGGAATACTACTGGAATTACAACTGCACATCCATGGCTTTTCATCTACTACCAGGGTGAAATTGTGTTTGCTTATCATGTTTTGCCCATCTTTATTAGTCCTATGATATATATCTGGTGGGTAAATAGTGTACATCCTTGGATATTCTGAGAAAATCCAAGATAGCTACAATTTGACATAGGAATACAAATGGGCGGGTTTCAAATGGTGCTAGAGAGGCATATGGTTTATTATACAATTACATTACCATGGGTTTGTTTTAAAAATAATATATGTTTTTCATTCCATTTATTATTACTCCTATGATGTATACCTGGTCTGTAGCATGTGTGTATCTTTGGGTATTCTGGAAAAAATTCAAGATGTCTGCCTTTTGTCATTAGAATATTCGAACACATAATCAAATAATGCCAGAGATACAATGAATACAATTTAAATGCAGTTAACTTTAGATCATTTTTAAATGTTTTTCATATCCTATTTATCCTTATGAAAGACTCCGTGTATGTAGAAAGTGTATGTATCCTTGAGTATTATTCGGAGAAAACCGAAGATAGCTGCCAGTTGTTATAGGAATATATCATTCAAATGCAAATAGGTGTCAAT